CTATTTCAACAGGTTAAGCTAGTTCCCTGGTGTCCTAATGTAATGTCTGTGACAAGCTTTGGTCAAAATCCCATAAGGATGAAGCTCAATAGCAGTTCAGTCCCCCTGCCTAACCCTAACCCTAACCCTAACCCTAACCCAAAACAGCCCCGTTCAGAGCGCTCGCTTTGGAGTGCCTGTCTCTTTAAATGCAAATGAGACACAGGCAATCCACCCACTTCTTCCGGGAGGTGTTGCCACGTCGGCACGCTAACGCTACCATGCTAACGCTACCATCCTAACGCTAACGCTACTAGTCATGCGAAAATCATTTTGATGACTAACTTCTGATTTAACAACATGGATGAATGTCCTCAGATAAGAAAAATATAAGACCAATTTTGAAAAAGATACAAAATATACAGTATATTTTTTGTAGTGTTTTCTCGTTTACCTGTTTACTACAGTTTGTCCCCCCAGGTGTGTTTTGCCTGCTTATAAAACCAGAGCTATAACAAGGAACTTGTTTTCAAGACATTAACATAAATATCCCACTTTTCTCTGCTGATTGAAGGTTTGATAGAATTTATCGTTTTTTTTTTAATGCAGGAAGATTTGAATCGTTTGCATTTTTCTGCATTTTTAGGCTCATTTGCTGTAATCCTGTTGCTTTATCCCCTCCGTTTTGTTCTGGAAGCTTTCGGTGGGAACTTAAGCCTTCGGCCGGTGTTTGATTTATTCCCTAATTGGCTTTTGATGTTTTCCCCTTTTGTCTCCCGAAAATCCGTCAGGACTTTGGATTCTGTCTGATTCTGTTGGCTCCTTTTTGTATTTCTTTATAACGACTCGTTCCGTCCCTCTTTGTTCCTGTTCTTCGTAACTTTGAATTAATTCGTATTAATTGTTGTTTCGTGACTATTTTTGTTTGGCCACATTGTTTTTCTCACATCTTTATTTGACCTCGTCCCCAAAAAGTGATCTTTTGGGGTGTTTTTCTGTCTGTTTCTTGCCATTTGGACTCTTGTTTGTGCTTGTTCTGTGTGTCTTTGGGGTTGTTTGGCACCATATCTGATTCCTTTGATTCTTTTTGGCCGTTCGGTTCGGTTTGAGGCTTTTCCCCGTTTCCGCGGTAACTCGGCGATTCGGCCCGTTTTAGCTAATCCATCAAACCTTCCTGGTTCCACTCCTCTCTGGTTCTGACTGGTATATTCCGTTTATTACCTTTCTTCTCCTTGGTCTCCTCTTCCATGTCCCCGGCTCCCAGCAGCGTGAAGATGATCCCCGTCTGGGAGTTCACCCCCACGGCCGTCACCAGCATCCGGCCAGAGCCCTCCATCACATGGGTGCCTAAAGGCCCAGACACACCTCAAAGATTAGACTTAGGCTTAGACTCAGACTCAGACTTAGACTCAGACTTAGACTTAGACTTTATTGATCCCTTGGAGCAGCTAACAGGTCAAAGAAATGGCACACAGAGAGCAAAAAGCTAAATAAAATACAAAAAAATACAGATTAGGTACAGGATACATTAGGGTTAGGTTTAGGATTAGGTTTAGGATTAGGTTTAGGATTAGGGTTAGGGTTATGGTCAGGGTTAGGGTTAGGGTCAGGATTAGATTTAGGCTTAGACTTAGAATTAGACTTAGACTTAGACTTTATTGATCCATTGGAGCAGCTAACAGGGCAAAGAAATGGCACACAGAGAGCAAAAAGCTAAATAAAATACAAAAAAATATAGATTAGGTACAGAATACATTAGGATTAGGGTTAGGGTTAGGGTTAGGGTCAGGGTTAGGATTAGGATTAGGGTTAGGGTTATGGTTAGGTTTAGGATTAGACTTAAATTTAGACTTAGACTTGTACTTTATTCATCCCTTGGGAAGACTCCCTCAGGAAATTAAAGTTACCAGCATTTTACAGGGCAAAAACAGAGAGCAAAATGCAAAAAAATACAGATTAGGTATAGAATACATTAGGTTTAGGATTAGGGCTAGGGAAATTAAAGTTACCAGCAGCTTACAGGGCAAAAAAGTGGCACACAGAGAGCAAAATGCAAAATAAAATACAAAAAATACAGATTCACTAAATGTGAATAGCCCAAAAAATAAGAATATAAATACAAAGTAAAAAATTAAGCAAAGAATAAGATTATAAATACATAGTAAAAAAATAAAAAAAACCTAAATTAAGCAAAAATAAGCAAAGAATAAGAATATGAATACAACGTGAAAATAAAGACCCCTAAGAAAA